TTTTTGCTTATGTGGTGCTGAGGAATGGAACCCAGGGCCTCATGCATGCAAGGCAAGCGCTCTACCACTGAGCCACCTTCCCAGACCAGTTCTCATTATTTTCATCTATCAGATTGTGGGGGACTTTGTTACACAGAAATCAACAGGTAACTAATATAAACTGCAGCTCTGTCCAGCAAGCTGTCTGCTGAGCTCTGAGTGTGACTACAGTTCTAGTGCGTATCTTCTTAGATATAAAAGCAGACACAATGGCTTGCATGCATGGAGCTACTACTATAATCAGAGCACTATGTTTTGTTTTGTTTTGTTTGTCAGTTGTGGGGCTTGAACTCTGGGCCTGGGCGCTGTCCCTCAGCTCTTCAGCTCAAGTGAGCACTCTACCTCTTGAGCCACAGCACCACTTCTGGTTTTCTGGTGGTTAATTGGAGGTAAGAGTCTCACAGACTTTCCTGCCTGGACTGGCTTTGAACCGCGATCCTCAGATCTCAGCCTCCTTAGTAGCTATTATTACAGGCATGAGCCACAGGTGCCTGGCCCTTTCTCATCCTCCTCCTTTTTGGGGGTTACTGTTGTTAATTCTGTTTTGTATTTTTTCTTTTTTTTTTTTTTTGCTTATGTGGTGCAGAGGAATCGAACCCAGGGCCTCATGCATGCAAGGCAAGCGCTCTACCACTGAGCCACCTTCCCAGCCCTGTTTTGTATTTTTTTGAGGCAGTCTTGTTATACATCCAGGGTGGTACATGACTCTCCCGCCTCAGCCTCCTGACTGCTTAGATTATAGACATGTACCACCAGATGTGCATAGTAAGTTGAAGAGGGAGTCTCATTAAAGTTTTGTGCAGGCTGGCCTCAAAAGTGTAATCCTCCTCCCTTAGCCTCCTAAGGACTTGGATTACAAGGAAGGCACCATATCTGGTCCTGCATTAACCCCTCAACCTATCTACAAGGAAGTTATCATTATTTCCATCCACCTCACAGTATGACCACAGTACATTCAATCCCTGGGTGGGCATAAAATTGGTGTTTTTGTAAGAGAAAAAAGTGGGAGAGTTGGTCACAAAGCCACACAGGAAGTAGCCCATGGGAAGACATTCGAGTGACACGGCCACAAGCCAAGAACACTAGGAGCATCTGGAAGCTGGAAGGGGTGGGAAGGATGCTCTGCTGGCGCATCAATGGGGGAACCTGGAATCCAGGATGAGCTCTGGCTCAGACTTGAGGAGCTCTGGCACCCTGTAGGCCATTACTCTCTGAGTCTTAGGGGATTTCAAACAAGCTGGTCACAGAAGTATGAGTGCTATAGGATTCCACACAAATAACATTACCAGTGCAGTAAAATTCCTAGACACAAGTAACGTATAGTGGTGCACACCTGTAATCTCATTACCTGGGAAGCAGGGATGAAGAGAATCATGGTTTCAGGCAAGCCCAGGCAAAAAGTGAGCAGGACCTCATCTCAACCAATAAAAGCTGGCTGTAGTGGTACCTCTGTCATCCCAGCTATGCAAGAAGCTTAAATAAGAGGATGGAAACCCTATTCAAAGAAGAACCAAAACCAGGTGCTAGCGGCTCACATCTGTAATCCTAGCTACTCAGGAGGCTGAGATCTGAGGGTCTCAGTTTGAAGCCAACCGGGGCAGAAAAGTCCACAAGACTCTTTATCTCCAATTAACCAGCAAAAACAAAAAAAAAGAAAGAAAAAAAGCTGGAAGTGGAGCTGTGGATCAAGTGGTAGAGTGTTAGCTTTAAAAAAAAAAAAGCGGGAGGAAAGGCTCTGAGTTCAAGCCCCAGTACTGAAAAAAAAAACAAAAAAAACTAAAGCAAAAAGAGCTAGAGGTGTGGCTGAGGTAGATCACATGCCTAGTGAGAGCTAGGCCCTGAGGTCAATGCCAAAAAAAAAAAAAATCCTGCTGGGTGCTGGTAGCTCACGCCTACAATCCTAGCTACTCAGGAGGCTGAGATTTGAGATCTGAGGATCGTGGTTCAAAGCCAGCCTGGACAGGAAAGGTCATAAGACTCTTATCTCCAATAAACCATCAGAAAACCAGACGTGGTGTTGTGGCTTAAGTGATAGAGCACTAGCCTTGAGCTGAAGAACTGAGGGACAGCGGCCAGGTCCAGAGTTCAAGCACCACAACCAACCCCCCCAAAAAAAAATCCTTGGAGAAAGAAGGGTGGTCACCAAAGGTGAGAGGCTGAGGGGTTCAGTTTGGAAAGACAGAACATTCTGGAAAGTTCTAGAGAGGAATGGCAGTGATGGTTGTCTGACAGTGTGTGACAGTCTACTTCAAAAGGATTATGGTGGCAATGTCATATAGGTGTTGTGTATGTTTCACTACAATTAAAAAACTAAAAGCAAAATGGTTTGACGTTGTAAAAATCCAGGGATTTTCAGGCTCATAGTGCTCTTTAATGTTGAAAAGGCTCGAGAATGGCAAAGACCTTGTCAGGTCTCCTGAAGGGAATAGAGGCCATGTGGCCTTTACTGGGGCCCTGAAAGCAGGTGTTCACTCTTGGGGTCCTCTCAGAGCAGAGTGAAGGGGTAGGCCAGTGCAGGGAACAAGCTCACCCAGGTGGCACTCAAGCGCAGCTCCCAAAGCAAGGTCAGTTCCTCAACCATGACGGCCCTGGTATCACCATCCCCAACCCCTCCAGGTTTACCTGAGCAAGCCCTCCCCCCAGGGTGGCCTGCACAGCTAGGGTCCCTTGTGTGGGTGCTCACGAGGTACCTGAGGTGACTCTTCTTCCAGGAGATGGTGTGGAATATCGTGGACACCACGAAGAGGCCACAAAGGCCAAGGCCATAGATCCAGGCAGAAATGGTCTCCCAGTCATCATCTGACAGGAAGTAGAGGTTGGAGCTGCCCAGGATGCTGGGAATAATCCAGAACTGGAGGGAAAAGGACAGCGCTGTAGGTCCAGTCTTTTGTGCAAAATGGGGGGAGGGGAGGGAGGAAACAGAGCCCCTTGTGTCCCTCATGCTCAGCTCTCTCTTTTTTTCTAGAAACCATATCTCCAATATTTAGTCAACCTAGCAGCCACTGGAACATGGTGATGACTGGGCATTTGTTTCATCTGACTGGATTCCTTTTATTTTTTCATGTTTAATGTAACTAAAGCATGAAAGCCTAAATGTTGTAAATGTGGTAGTACTATATAATGTTTTGGTGCATGTGTTCATTGGATATTGCTTACATTAGGCTTAACTAGATGAATCTCCTCCAATTCATGCTAGAAACTTCCAAAATCCTTCCTTCTAGATTTCATAAAGAGCAAACTCATTGTGAATTCAAATTGAAATTTCAAGCCAGGCACTAGTGGCAGAGATCCAGAGGATCAACTTTCAAAGCCAGTCCAGACAGGAAAGTCTAAGAGACTCCATCTCAAATTAACCAGCAAAAAAAAAGAGGTGGCTCAAGTGGTAGAGCACCAACCATGCATGTGCAAGTCTGAAATCCCGAGTTCAAATCCTGGTACCACCAAAAGCTCATTTAAATTTTCCCTGGCATGGGTAATATCTTTGTGAATGTTTCATTGGAATCCTTGACTGGCACCCCAGGCCCAGTCACCATGCTGAGCCCCCACACAGAGGAACCTTATTTGCCATGTGCCATATACCCATCACTGATGTTCCTGAAGCAAGAGCTCCACCCACAACAGCCCTGGTACCTAGGTGTCACTCAACTTGTGAGTCTAAAGCGTAGCTTATCCCTGGAGAGAAGTGCCTCAAATCCTGTGCCTTGGACTGTGAATGTGGCTTAGTGGTAGAGTGCCTACCTAGCATGCATGAAGCCCTAAGTTTGATTCCTCGGTACCACATACACAGAAAAGGCCGGAAGTGGTGCTGTGGCTCAAGAGTGCTAGCCCTGAGCAAAAAGAAGCTCAGAGACAGTGCCAGACCCTGAGTTCAAGCCCAGGATTGGCATATAAAAAATCCTGTGCCTTTACAGCTATGTGATTCAGCCCACCTTTGCCTTTCCATTTTGTTCTTTCCATTTTCTCTTGTGAGCCAATATGCTGCATGATTCAGTGACTGAAAAACAATCCTTCTAGCTTGACATACTCAGGCCTGGGGGCGGGAGGGTACCAGCTTAGGGACCCCTGCATCTGGGCAGCTGGGGATGTACTTGGGGGATGCATTTCAACAAGGGCCCTGAAGGATGGAGAGTGTCTTAGAGGCAAGGGTGGGGCAGAGAGGCCAAATGTTCCAGGCAGCGGAAGAGACTAAGCAGAGACACTGAGTCCTGCCTGCCTTTATGAAGAGGTGAGTGGTTGAAGGAAGAGCCTGGGATATGTGTGTGGCAGGTGAATGGGACCTGCAGGGGAATGTGCCACAGTGACTGGTCAATAGCATGGGTATGAGGGACTTGCTGCAGGATTTCAGAGCCAAGGAGAGGCCTTGTATCCTTGTGACCTTCCCTCCCTCCTTGTGGCCTTCCCTCTACATCCACTTACCCACTCGTGGGGGTCATGAGACTAGAGGAACACCCGTGTGTGGAAGAGGCTGCCTTCCCCTCCCCCACCCAGACGTCCCACCTTAGCCCCCCACCCCCAGACCCCACTCACAGCATGGGTGGCACAATTGGCTGCATGCTCATATTCTGTGGGTTGGTACCTCTTGTGGGGTGGGACTCGGTGGTTCATGAACCTGAAATGACAGGCAGAATTCCAGAAAGACTGGCTGGGAAACCATCTGAGAGAATTGCTTGGTTCCTCTGTCTCGCTCCTTCCCGTCCTTGTCTTCATTATTATTCTTGGTGATACTAGGTTTGAACTGAGGGCCTTGCACTTGCTTAGGCAGGTGGCTTACCACTTGAGTCACTCCCCCAGTCCCTTTCTTTTTCTGGGGGGGGGTCCGGTCATGGGGCCTGAACTCTGGGCCTGGGCGCTGTCCCTCAGCTCTTCAGCTCAAGGCTAGCACTCTACCACTTGAGCCACAGCGCCACTTCCAGCTTTTTTCTTTTTGCTTATGTGGTGCTGAGGCAAGTGCTTTACCACTGAGCCACCTTCCCAATCCCCCCCCCCCAGTCCCTTTCTTAGCTATTGTTATTTGGTTATTTACATCCAGATGATATGCCCAAGCTACCACATCCAGCCATTGTTCCGGCATGCAACACCAATAGCCAGTCACTCCCCGCTTTATACCTGGGCTGACCTTGCACTAAGATCCTCCTATTTCTGTCTCCCAATTAGCCTGGACTGTAGGCTGAACCAAACATACCAGTTTTGCTTTGCATTTGGTGTTTTGTTGCCGTTGTTATTTGAGACAGTCATGCTATTGTAGCCCAGGCTGGCCTCAAACTTGCAATCTTCCTGTTTAGCCTCTTGAATGCCAGGATTACAGGTGTGTACTACCATGCCTGGCTATTCTCATTTGCATACAGTTTGGCTCCCCAGGGATAGAGCTTAGTGAATTTTTACATACATACACCCACATTATACTACCCAGGATGACATGCATTATTTCTTGCCACCCCCAGAAAATGCCCTTTTGCCTAACCCCAGTGAGTACTGTAGCAATGAAAAAACTCTGAAACACTGTTAGTGTGGATTACTTCTTCCTGGTCTTGAACTTGGTACCAATGGATTCACACAGAACCCAATCTTTTGTTTCTGAGTTCTTTTACACCTGGGGATTCTTCTGAGATTCATCCATATTATTTGACATGGTGATTGGTTGTTTCCATGGCTGTGTAGTATGCTATTAGGTGGATGAAGTACACATGGTTTACTCAGTCTAGGGGAAATGACCCAGGGTAGGGTAATTCAGGGTAACTCTGATAGTGAAGACTCAGGTGTGAATCTCTTGAACATGTGACGGTTGATCGTGACGATCAACTTGACTATTCTGAGAAGCCCTTAGGAGATTAGCACAGCACACTTCTGGATGTGTCTGTGAGCATTTTCCAGAAAGGATTCGCCGAGGGGGGGAAATCTTCCTTGAATGTGTACAGCTCCACTAGGAGCCTAGACGGCCTAGTACACAGATTGTACGATCTCATCCCATTTCCTCTCTTCCTGGCCCCCCTCCTCTCTCCTTCCTGGCAGCCATGAGGGGAGCGGCTCTGCTCTAACCACCACGCTGCACCATGACACGGGCTGAAACCCAGGAGCCACAGTACATCCCCTTGGCATCGTTTCGCGCGTGCGCTGTCATTTCTGCGGCATTCAGGTCACTGTGCAGAATCGGGCAGTTTTACCTTTAAAATAAACATTCTCAGAGGTCTTTGGGGTGCCGGGGTTTGTGCTCTTGCTGGGTGGGGGCCAAACCTCGTCCCCAGCCTAACGATCTTGGCGTTCGGGTGCGGAATCCTCACGGCCCCCGGGCCGGCGGGTCCCCACCGGGGCCCCACACGGAGCCCCCCTGGGTTTGCGGCTGGGAGCTGGGGAGGAAGCGACATAGGCCGGCGGCCGGCCGGGCTCCCAAGCGGGGCCCCGCCAAGACGTCCCTGTCCCTGCTCGGCCCGGCCCAGCCCGAGACAAGGCCCGGGCCTGCGGGGCGGGAGCCGAGGCAAAGACCCGCACACCCCTGGGCGGGAACCACGGGCAACGCAGGCGAAGCCACTTCCGGCTGCAGCACCCACTTCCGGGGCCCACCACCGAAGCCACCGGTCATTCACTTCCGGGGCTCTCACAGGTGTAGAAGCCACAGCAGCATTCACTTCCGGGGGTGTCTCACAGCAGCAGAGGCCCAGGACTTGGTTCACTTCCCAGCAAGCTTCTGGTGCATGGCTCCCTGGGGTTTTGCCAGCATTGTCCACCAGGGGGAGACAAACCGGCGACCACAGACACACACACACACACACACACACACACACTCACAGCCAAACACCACCACCACCACCACCCCAAAGCAAGAAATGAGTGTGATTTAGCACAAAGGGCTCCCTGAGCATGGCTCACTGAGCATCCCTTCTGTATGTTGGCTCAGTACAGATCATGGGGCATTCACTGAGTACCTAATGTATACTGAATCCATGTGATCATCCTCCCTGGAGCATTCATTGAGTACTTTCTGATCTGGCTCCATGCTGGCATCCTTCGTGGAGCATACATGGGGCTCCTTCTATATGATGGCTTTATGTAAAGGATGATTTGTGGAGAATTAATCAAGCACTTTCTGTGTCCTGGATCAATTCTCAGTCCTCAGTGCATTCATGGAGCACCTTCATATGCTGGCTTTGTGTATGCCAGTTGGGCAAGAGCACAAGCTGGAGTGGGTGGGCCATGCACTGAGTCTGTGATTTTCCCCTTGGCTACCTGGGGTCTGGTTTTTCCTATACTGGTCCTCTTGGCACCTGGATGAACCCAGGAGTTCATGTAAGTCCCCTGTTCCAGCCATGTGCTCTGGCATGTGCTCCCTGCCTGTATCTACCAGGATTGCATGGCCATGTGACTCTATGGTCACATGACTCCAAGATCTGGCACATGCTGAGCTCATCAGTCAACACACACACACACACACACACACACACACACAGTCTGCAAAGTCCCATAGCTACTGGGTTACACCAGTGGGGACAGAGTAAAAAGTTTTTCCCAGTATTTTGGATGCCGCGGCAGGACAATCTTGAGTTCAAGGCCAGCTACAAAGAGAGACCCTCTCTCAAAAATATAGAAGACTTCTGGATGCCAGTAGCTCACACCTGTAATCCTAGCTACCTACTCAGGAGGCTGAGATCTGAGGATCGTGGTTCAAACCCAACCTAGGCAGGAAAGTTATTTTTTAATAAACCACCCAAAAATCGGAAGTGATGCTGAGGCTCAAGTGGTAGAGCTCTATCCTTGAGCTGAAGAGCTAAGGGACAGCACCCAGGCCCAGAGTTCAAGCCCTATGACCCACAAAAAAAAATAGAAGACTTAAGAAGAATCAGAGAGAAGAAGGAAGGAAGGAAGGAAGGAAGGAAGGAAGGAAGGAAGGGAGGAAGGGAGGGAGGGAGGAAGGGAGGGAGGGAGGGAACCAACATGCACACCTGTAATGAGAGGTACTCCAGAAGTGGAGATAAGGGAATCAAGGGCTAAAGCAAGTTCCAAGGTAAAAGTGTGAGACTCTATTGAAAGGCAAAGTAAAACAAAAAAGGAGCTAGGACATGACTCAAGTAGTACAGTGCCTGTCTAGCAAGTATGAGAGCCTGAGTTCAACCCACGATCATTAAAAAGGAAAGAAAAGGAAGGGAAGAAGGGAGGGAGAAACAAAAAGAAGGGAGGGTGGAAGGGAAAGAAGAAAGAAAAAGACAGAAGGAAGGAAGGAGGGAGGAGGAAAGGAGGGAGGAAGGGAGGGAGGGAGGGAAGGAAGGAAGGAAGGAAGGAAAGGAAAGGAAAATTGGTGCCAGTACTGATGGCCCATGCCTGTAATTCTAGCTACTCAGGAGGCTAAGATCTGAGGATCAAGGTCCGAAGCCAGCCTAGGCAGACAAATCTGAGAGACTCTTATTTACAATTAAGCGACACAAAACTAGAAGTGAAGGTGTGACTCAAGTGGTAGAGTGCCATCCTTGAATGAAAAAGCTAAGGGAGAGTACAAAGTTCTGAAGTCAAGCCCCCAGTACAGGCACCAAAAAGAAAAAGTAAAAGGAAAAAAAATGAGATTTTAGCCAAGAGGAAGTAAGGGGCCACCCCCTGGAGACAGACACACCCCTGGAAGTAAAGATTCCTAATGGTCAAGATGCAAGTAACATGTCTCCAAACTAGAAGCACCCAGGGTTGTCAACAATCTCCAGAAGGCCAGAGAGGGCCCTTAGAGCCCCTAAAACAGACCTCTGGCCTGGTGCTGAGCTCATCCATCAAGGATGCTGGTCCACGATGACCCAGGTTGAGCCAGGTGTGCATGCACGTGCACACGCACGCGTGCGCACACACACACACACATAGTGCAAGCACACCAATAGTGTGCCAAAATCCTCAGGGAAGCCGTGACAATTTATGTCACACAAGTGGGCAACCCCAAGTCCAGCTCCAAAGAGGCCTCCTGTACCTGTCCCCAAGCAAGGCCCTGTGACCCTTTCCTCCTCTGTACCTTTAACAAACATCCCTCTAGGTACCAGGGTGATGTCACAGTTGCTATGGCAATCCAGGGGGCAGGCAGAATGGTTATTTATTTATTTATTTCTGGCCTCAACAAAACTCTCCTTGTCTCTGGCTGCTGCTGTGACTATTGAAGGCAGGAGGGGGTGGAGGGAGAAAAGAAAGCCAGGAGATGGGTGACCCAGGGAGCCAGGCAGACACCCAAGAAATAGTTCCCACCACCCTAAAACCCCAGAATGTTCCCTTTAACCCCTTGTGTCCTCTTTCTGTCCCTTATAAGCCTCTGTACGACATTAAGAAAGCAGATTCTTTTTTTTTTAAAGAAAAATGTTTTAATTTGCATACTGGATTTCTTTCCTTCTTACTATGCAAGTTTCTTTTTTATTCGTGTATATTCACCATCCCAAAGTCACCAAATTGTTGATATTTCCATCCACACATGTAATGTACTTGTGTGACATTTGTATTGCCCTTTCCTATACACGCATTTCCCCCCTTTTTAAAACTATTATCAGAGATAGTCTCATTCTCTTTTTCACACACATGTAGGAACCCTGCTATTTGGCTTTATGAGTTTGGACCATGATAAATAGTGGCCCCTGAACTCCCCTAAATCCCCCATCTCTGTACCTAGTTCAGCTCCCCTAGTCCATTCTACATAATAAGACCCTGCCTCAATCAAACCAAAGAGAAAATAAAAGAAATAACTACTAAATGGAATCATGCTCCCCAAACCCACTAGGCACCAGGCATACAACAGCATCTCAAGGCAATTCTTTCTCCTCTTCCAAAAGAATCTACCCAACCCCCCAGGCACCATTTCCTTCCAGGTACTTAGTCCACCCAGAGCCTCTGTGTATCAGAGGAAGCACACACTGCTTTGTTCAGTAAATAGTGTTGCTCTAATAGGAAAACTAGGCTACAAAAGTGTAGGCCATTGATGGCCAATCTTGGCCAAACATTAAGATTCACCTGGGTGCAGGTGAGGAGGGGTGAACATGTGGTTCCAGCTACCTGGGAGGCTGGGACAGGAAGACTGCTTGAGCCAGAGTTCAGGGCTAACCTAGTCAATCTAGTGATACCCCCCATTTCAACAACAGGGAAAGAAATCACTAGGTACAGTGATCCTGTAGTCCTAGCCACTTAGGAGGCAGAGATCAGAAGGATTGCGGTTCAAGATCAGCCTGGGAGAAGAAGTTCAGGAGACCCCTCCCCCATCTCTACCCATAGGAAGTTATATGTGATGGCATATGCCTGTCATCCAATTATGCAGGAAGAGTAAGTTGGACCAAGCCAGCCCAGATAAAAAATTAAATGCTATTTTTTTTTGGTTG